AAAACAAACATTGTATATTATTAGGAGATTTAACTTAGATCTCCTCAAGTTTGAATCACATCCTAGTGCAGAGAATGTCCTAAATACTTTGGGCACATTTTATTTTCAATCTCAAATCTTGCAGCCAACTACAGTAACAGATCACTCAGCAACTCTCTTTGACAATATTTTATTTAATTCCCTTGAGCACTTTTCCATCGGTGAAAATTTTTGTTATGATTCATCTGACCATCTACCAAATTTTCTCATTGTAAATAGACTATCCTTTCCACCAGTGAACATTATGGTTTTTAGACAAGATTATTCAAATTTTGATAAGCAAGCCCTGATTACTGACATTCAATCAATAAACTGGGATGATTTAATTGAGGTGGTTTTGAACCAAGCAGTATGTTTGATAGTTTCTACAATAAGATATTTGAGGTTATTTATATACATAAATCCATCAAGGAATTATCTAAACAAGAATTAAAAGTAGATCCAAACCATGGTTAACCTCTGAAATCAGGACCTCTATTAGAATAAAGAATGGTCTATTTAAGAAATTCCTTAAAACAAAGTCTACCTACAACCATGAAAAATTTAAAAATTACAGGAACAAACTGAGTCATCTAATTAAATTAAGTAAGAGAAATTAGTATTATAATTTATTTTCAATTCATGAAAATAATGGCAAATGAGTCTGGTGAGGAATTAAACAAATTGCTTATATTAACCCACAGGTTGGAAAATTGAGAAATGACTGATCCTAAATCAATAGCTGATGCACTCAATAATTATTTTTGCCAACATAGGAAGTAATCTTGCAAACTCCAATCACAGTGCGACAAAAACTGCCTTGTGAGTTTATGCCACTTCCCAAATGTAATAGTTTGTTTTTGTTCCAAGGGACTGAAGATGAAATCCAATTAGAAATAGCTAAACTTCAACTGGTAAAGCTGTGGGTCCTTTTGGTATTCCTATCTCAATTCTGAAGATCCTTAATTATGAATCAGCAGGTCCTTTATGGTTAATCTTTAATACATCTTTTCTTACTGGAATTGTCCCAGATACATTTAAGTTGACTAGAATAATACAAGTCCTTAAGAAAGGTTCTCAGACAAACCTAAGTAATTATGGGCCTATTTCTCTTTTATCAATATTTGGTAAGTTGTTAGAAAAACTTGTGTTCAATTGGTTAGTTGACTTCTTAGACTAACAGCACCTAATTTATAACAAGCAGTTTGGATTTCGCTCACATCATTCAACTGATCATGCAGTACTAAGTATTATTGACCAGGCCACGGTTGTTTAAAGGTTGGGTAATGCTATCCAATGGATAAATTGCTACCCGGTGGATACTGCAGTATATTTTCCTGACAGTTATCCGCTGAATAGTGATTTGTCTGTTGGATAACATTACCCATACTTTGAACAACTGGGCTAAGGTGCAAAAAGCTATTGAAGATCATGTTACTCTTGCAGAATATTCCTAGACTTCAGCAAAGCATTTGATGCTGTTGTCCACAAAATTCTGGTCAAAAAGCTTGAATGTTATCAGAGGTGTTGTTTAAGACTAGTTTAGTTCATATCTGAGTTACAGAACACAGATGGTATCACTTGGTTCCATTATTTCTAACATGAAAACAGTATTTTGTGGGGTGCCTCAAGGATCAATACTGGAGCCACTTCTTTTCTTTATTTATAGAAATGACTTTCAGAAATTGCTTAAAACTATTGGACTTTCACCTTTCTACAGATTATGAAAATTTTTTATCAAGCATGAGGACCTCAACATACTTAAAAGTGAAATTAACAGTGAACTTGGAAAAGTACATATTTGGCTATCTGCAAACACCGGTAAGCTTTCAAATTCAAAAAGTCAAATTTTGTTATTTTTCATCCAGTACAAAATCAAATTCCCTAAAAGGTTATGCTATCTATAAATAATCAATCATTGACTGAAGAAACTTCCATTTGTTACCTTGGAGTTTATATAGATTCAAATATTAGTTGGAAGAGCCACATTAACTTTATTGCTGAAAAATAAAAAGAAGTGTAGGTATTCTCTCTAATCTTTTCTATTTCTTGAACACAAAAAAATTGCAAAGCCTGTATTGCATCTTAATAGAGCCATTCTTAAGTTACTGTGTAATTGCTTGGGGTAATGCATATCAGACAACTATGCAACAGGTCTTTATTTACATTACAGAAGAAAACTATATAGGAATAATTACCATTTCACTGAACACTCAAGTCCTTTATTAAAACACTTGAATGTTATCAAGCTGTGTGATATCATAACCCTTTAACTTGCTGTGTTTATGTATAGGTTCCATTACCAACTTTTACTTTCAGTCTTTAATACCTTTTTTAATCTTGGTAGGAACATACTAAGATATAACACTAGGTTGTCCTCCAGGATGACTTATGCTATTCCAAAAGCCACAACAAAGTATAGAATTTTCAACATAATGTTCCAGGGTGCTAAAGTTTGGAATGATATAAGTGATGACATAAAGCTTCTCTCTTTCAAACGCTTTAAGAGAAAGTTTAAGTCAATTCTTATTGCTAAATATTAATTTGAGGTTTTTCAAAAAAATATTTTTTCTGGCTTTCTGTTGTTTAATTAGCAGCAGCCTAAAGGGGCTCACTATTGTTTGACTTCTAATTGACCTTCAACAAACACATTAATAAGCTACTATGGATATTTAACCATTATCTGCTGAAGCTGTTTGTAATGCTCTTGATCCAAAATTTGTTACCAGAAGTTTTAAAAGTTGTAAAATATGCTGTTTACCTTTCCTATTTCATACTTTTCTATGAAAATATAACTGCAAGGTCATGCATACATGACACTCAGCATTGCATTAGTATGTGCAACAGGACAAAGAAAAATTATTTGATGTCACTGCAACACTAAGGTAAAGTAGGCTATACTGCTAATTCCAGTAACTCGAAATGCATGTTTCAATATCTATGCTCATATTTTCTTCCTGAGTTTGCAGTCAAGATTATCAAACACTTAATGCATGAATGGTGGTTTAATTTGCCAATTGTTACATCTGACTGAACATAACTTGAAAGTCTTAACACTGGGGTACCTGAAGTGAGTCAAAGAATAAATTGTGTGAGTAATCAGTTAATCCTTGGTCACACAATAAGGAGCTGTTTGGGACCTTAAACATCAACAATGGCAACAATGAGGTGTTTGAATGACAATCCTTGGTCAGTGATGCATGCTCAGGAAACTCCAAGTTTAATTTTACAGAAAGCGACCTTTAATTGTGAAATGGTTGCCTTAAAAAAATTTGATCACCTTCTAAAACATGGCTCATTTGTGTACTCCAGCCTTTTGCTAAGGAAATGAACTGGGTTAAAACTAAAAGTAATGTACATTAACAATTACGCATTTCTGATTGGCTGAAAACAAGTGCATTCTCATGTAACACATGTGCAAAGTTGTAACAAATGAAAATTACAAATAGCATGCAAAATTTTGTCTGTCTTGCCTTTGTAATTTTTTTTTCCACACAAATTATTAACAAGTCATGACATGGTTTTTCTTGCAATTTGGTGTAACAAGCACCTGCAAATTTGGTTAAGATTACAAATTGCACTCACAACAAGCTTGTGCCTAATTTTGTCTTTGAAAATTTTACATGTGCTTATCAACATCAAATTGCACACAAAATCATTTTATTGCTTATATGCAATATCATAACCTGTTATCAGTATTACAGTAAGTGCTCAGTTGTACTATCATTTGTTCATTTCTAAATGATTTGAAGTGGATTGAAAAACACAATTCACAGCTCCTCATGGGGACTCAGAATTTTTTTCTTTGTCCCACACTCATGACAAGACAAAAAATATCTTACACCACATACAGCTTTATGGAGAAGTCCTTGTTTTGGAGCCATATTGTTATCATCATCTTAGAAGCAAAGAAAGAGGGGATGTATAAAACAAGATAGCAATTAACCTGACTTAGCAGGGTGTGAAGTCAGTGCAAAAATGTGCCAAGAGGAAAATGTGTCTGGGATCTCTTGTGAAGAAACCAAAGAAAATCAAGCTCTTGAGGAGATGATTGGTAAAGGGAAGGTGTCTGACCACAAAAGCTCTGAGGCCAAGGGGAAAAAAGGAAGAAAAACAGCTGCAGAGGAACACAGAAAAAGCCCCATGAAATGTTTACAGCAGACAAGGAAAAGGAAAATAGAGAATATGTTACCTTTCTGTGTTACATTATGTCCATTTAAAAGTATCTTCTGTTGTCTCCTGGCCTGCATATGGGGCAAACATTACCATCTATGAAACCAAAATGGTTTTGTAAAGCTGCCCCCCTTTGTAGCTGTAAGCCTGTAACCCTACAACAGTTGGATGCCAAGGAGTGAAGCTATGACCATGTGTATCATTAGAAAAAGTCAACTGGGTGTTTGAAAACCATGCAGAAACAGACAAACCAGATCTCAGTACCATATCACAGTATGTACCAGGGTAGGCTTGTCTTCTGAGCAGGTTACAAAGGCCTTCCATGCTGTCACAACCCTTTTTTTGATAGCATGTGGTATTTGCAGACCTGATATTTGGAGTACTCTAGCAAGAAGTGGTAGGTCTTTTTCTTGACCTGGCCAAATGTTCAAATCCCCTCATGTTTTTCAGAGACTTTCCTGTAAAGGATACATTTTATTAAACCTTATCATGGCCAAGAAGC